TTCCCCTCAGTGACCAATACCGGGTGCACACCTCTTGTCCCATCCATGCGCGCTACATGCCCTGCCCATCTCATTATTCTCGACTTAATCACCCTGACAATATTGGGGGAGGAGTACAGATTTTTAAGTTCGTAATAATAGTAATATATTATTAAAATTAAAATAATGTTTACGTAATAGTGAATGATTTTACTCTTTGCCACCACGCCTGGGGCCCACCCAACATCGTGTTCCAATGAGCACCGAGCGTAAAGCGGCCGGAGCGTGAGGCTAAACGCATTTTGGTAGTCGAAAAACTCGTTCCTTTATCGGGCAAACTTTTCCCAGGTACTTTGTATCTCTTTGACTAATGATTATAATTAGTCATTCTCTGCTGTCAAAATATCTGTTCTCGTCTTGTTTACTGTAGTCCACTAGTGGTATACAAGACACATTTGTGCTAATTCTGGCTCCTTTTATGTTTAATATCCAAATTGAATAATCGATAAGCCTAATAGTTAACTTCTTAAATTCCATTTTTAAATATATGTACCAATCACTTTAACAATTAGCAACTATTTATTTTGTACGATTCTCAGTAGTATTAAAAATATATTAAAATTGGCCGTCAATCACAATATATATTATATTATATTATAATATATTATATTATTATATATTATATTATATATATTATATATTATATTGTGATTGACGGCCAATTTTAATATATTTTTAATACTATTTAAATAAATCACAATATGACGCATCTACAATATCTTATATTTTACGATTCTCAGTGTAAACAGCGATTATTTCATTGAACATTAACAAAAATTATCTTTGTAAGCGTAAAGTGCTGATATTTGTTTATTTCTGTTGTTGTTGAGTTCTTAGACCTTGCGTAGACGAGCTTTTGGCTTCAAAGGTCATCGGCGACTAATTCTGTAACACTACAACGTCACAATGTTTTGTCATGTCAGGTTCATGGGAAAATGAAACAGGATTTCGTCCTTTGTTTAAAGCAGCAGAGAGAGAAGCAGAATTGAACAAGATGGGGAAGGCGCTCTCCATGACGGAGTATACACAGTTTCGAGACGAGTTTTTTGCAATTTGGCATTCTGAATGCCCCCAGCATTTTCGAACGGCTTTATTGAAAACTTTAATATTATTAACTGCAATTTGTTCTTGAAGAATCTGAACTTATTATTTTTAATTTAATTCTGGGGCTGTTCGTAAGCTATCAGTATTTATAGACGTCAAGATAGCTTATAATTCAGTTAGGAAACGATAAAAAATCATTCTCTTTCACTTCGATATAGCAATGACAATGCATATAGTTAGGCCGATTCAAAATTATTTGTGTTGTAGCTTAAAATTCTCTTGTTTTATTTTTAATATTACTTACATTACGTAAAACCAAATTTGTGACGGTTTTATGTCTGAAACTTGCAGGATTTTATGTCGAAGCATTAAAAAATGGTGAATAACCTTTCTTTTGACTCCATAGACCTGTTCATTACCGAGATAGGTTATTAAATTACCTCTGCAATGGAAGCATAAGGACTCGGTGTTGAATGAACTGCTCTAATCATAAATACCTTCTGCCCCGCCAAATGCAATGTACTCTGTTCCCGACACATGGCCGAGCTCCCATCGTAATCAGGGGATTGGCACACAAACATGTTACGAGTTCAGTCGTGGCAAAGCAGCTGTGAATTTTAGTAGATCAGCACAAACAACAGTAGTGATGTGCTCTTACGCGGCTCGTATTTATGTTGTTCAAATGAATTTTCGAACTTGGCTTGAAATATGACGTCACCACAAATATGGTAAAAGTTTAATCTTTTCTGGACCCTTCGGAATACGTACCACGTAGCTGCCAGAAAAATAAGCGCGAACAAGTTTCCGAAACGTCTTAAATGCACGTGCTTATTATCCAGACGGTGTACAACATCGAAAGAAAGTATTTCGTATGTGCTAGTTTGCTGTGTTTATTTATTTATTTATTTAGTGTTCTGTCTGACGACAGGTCCATATGAACAGGATCCTTCCATCCTTTTCTCGGACTGGGACCTGTTCATATACGTTCTTGGCAGATGATCCAGAAGTGGTTTGCCATTGCCTTCTTCTGTGTGTGAATGGAGTAATTGTTGGGATGCCACGGAGAAAAACTCCGTGTTGCCTAGACCACGGCCTTGTCCAACACAAGTTATAAATTGGGGCACCGCCGGGAATCGAACCCGAGACCCCCAGGATTACAAGGCCAGCGTTCTAACCGCTAGACCACCGTGGGTATCTTTTGCTGTGTTAGGTCAGTTAATTTAAGACGTCTTTAGAATTTATTTGAAAGCCGTCTTCATCTTCAGGGTGTACGGATTAGACTCTGGGACCTGTTATACGTAATTCAGAACGGAATTATAAAACTGAGTCATTTTTAGACTTTTCGTAGGATGCCTTCGATGGGGGATCGACCCATCTTAAGGGCTGTACCTACGCAGGACAGCAAGAATCAAACCCTGGTAGGTGAGGTCTAAGATTCTCAAGGCGACGAGTATGATAGAATCTGACCGACTTTTGAGAGGTATTTCATGCTTCCGTTATCAGGACAATGACAGCACCTCCGAAACGTCGACCACTGCGCAGTATTCCTGAAGACCTTCAGTCACGTCACTGATTAAGCCACTCGGAGTCAAAATGCGTCTAATTAATACCACTGACGCATATTTGTTGCTTAACGAGGATGGAATTTAGAGGAAGAAATATTTTTGTACATCCAATATGCCGGAAACCGCAACGAGCTGAAATTACTCGTTAAGTTTACGAGCAGAATCAGGCCGGAAAACCGCGAGATGTGGTTG